GAAACACCAAGCACAAAGAACTTATCCACCCCTATGTTCATAGCAGTGCAATTTACAATAGCTAAGGTCTGGAAACAGCCCAAGTGCCCATCAGTAGATGAGTGGATAAAAAAGCTGTGCCACGTTGACACCATGGAATACCATGCAGCTGTAAGAGGAAGGACCTTTTATCCTTTGGCACAGCATGGAGGGAACTAGGAAGTATTATGCTAAGTGAAATAAGCCAGTCAGAGAAAGACAAGTATCATATGATCTCACTTATATGTGGAACATAATAAACTGATGAACAAAGTGGACCCAGAGACACAGAAGCATGGAACAGACTGAGGGATCTCAGAGGGAAGGTGAGGGGCGGGGAGAGATTAATCAAAGAACTTACACGTTTAAAGAAAAAAAAAGGCAAAATGAGGAAAGTGTAACTTTCATACCTGAGCTTGAGGAAGAGGGATGGAAGGGGGAAGGAAGGGGGGAAAGGAGGGGTAGGATTATCTGTGCTTCTGGGTCCCCACAAATGCCACTTTCCACTCTGGGTAAAAGACCAACTTGGGCCAACCACTCACCATCATACAAAAACTGTCATCATGTACCTGGCAATGTGGAATTGTATGTTCAGTATTTTTCTAGTCTAAGTCATTTACCATTCATCTATCTGCTTTCCAACTCCCAAAAACTGGCTGACATTTGTTGTCTACTGGTATTCCTCTCCTGTTCTCTTGGTTCTTGTGGGTTTAAACATTTTTATTTTGAAATATATTTAGATATATTTCAGCCCAGCCGGTGTGGCTAAGTGGTTGAGCATCGATCCATGAACCTGGAGGTCTCAGTTTGATGCCCACTCAGGGCACATTCCGGGATTTCGGGATTGATCCCCAGTAGGGTGTACAGGAGGCAGCCGATCAATGACTCTCATCAGTGATGTTTCTCTCTCTCCCTTTCCCTTCCTCTCTCTGAAATCAATTAAAAACACACACACACAAAAAAAAACATATTTAGATATATTTCAGAAGGAAGCAGAGATAAATGCATGTGTTTAATCTGCCATGTTTAGCCCAAGTTCACCTACTACCACCTATTCTATTTGATTAAATGGCTTTCTCCTGTAACTACTACTAGAGTAAATCATAAATCCTTCCCCTTTCCTATGTGAATCTGGAACTCCATTGCTCTGGGCTATGGAAAGTGCCAGGCACCTGGATCCTGGTTTATTTCTCTGCAGTTCAGTGCACTTATTTCTTTGGGACATTTGACATCTTTTTAAAGGTAATACATCAGTAGCAAAATACATCTTTTTAAAAAGGAAAAAAATTTCCTGTTCCTCCAGTGCCAGCCAATATAAGCTAACTCAGTTTTATGCATTAGATCAGAGGTTAGCAAACTATACATCATGGGCCAAATCCAGTCAGCTGCGTGTTTTTAAATAAAGTCCCATTGCAATACAGCTGCCCTCACATATCATCTATGGTTATTTTCATGCTACACAGTGGAGTTCAGTAGTTGTAACAAAGACCAAATGGCTTACAAACCATTTAGCCCTGTACAAAAAAAGGTTGCCATCCCCAAGGCTAGACATTCCACTAGTTTCATGTAGAACAGGTAAAGTATGGACATTTCAGAGGTGTGCACATGGATACGAAAGTGATCCTACTGGCTGTACAATGTTCTTCCTTATCCTCCCCACTTGCTGCACTGCCCCCATCCTTACAAGAACTAGTTCAAGAGATGACAGACTCACATATGCACACATATCACTTTGCATTCTCACTCACTGACAAGTCACCAAACACTTTAATTACCCAGCTTTAAAGAAAATGTCGCAGGCCCAGCCAGAGTGGCTCAGTTGGTTGAATGTTGTCCACTCAGGGCACATAACCTGGGTTGCTGGTTTGATCCTCAGTAGGGGCATGTACAGAAGGCAACCGATTGATGTTTCTGTTTCTCTCCCTCTCTCCCTCTCCCTCACCCTGCCCCTCTCCCGCTTTCTCTCTCTCCCCCCCTTCCTCTCTCTTTCTCCCCCTCCTCCTTTCCTCTCTCTAAGCATGTCCTCAGGATTTAAAAAGAATGTCTGAGGTGAAGCTATTCCATCCAGAGCTGGCAAATAGGTGAGTCTAGCCCCCTTTTTGTACACACAAAATTGTCTGCACCCTTCACACACTTCACATAAACAAAACCAGTCTCACCTCCTCAGCTTTGCTTTTCACCTCTGTAGGTATGTGGTTGTTCTTACGGATCTTCAGCTGTTCCTTAGCTTTCTTCATGTCCTTCTCTACTCGTTGCCAGTCAACTTTGATGTATCCAGTATGGTTTGCAATCTATAGTTTCAAAGATAGCAAGAAACAAGAAACACAAGCTTGTTATTTCTTTTTGTCAAGGTAAATCACTGAAGTACATTATCAAAAACCCTTCTGACTTTCCATTTTTGGAGACATTTGTCTTCCAGATCTTTGTGTGACGGTGACATTCACTCATCATCTACTCAGCATCCACCCTATGTGCAAGGTCCTATGTCTGGCATCAGAATTCAACAGACTGCCCCTCAATGACTGCTGGCAATTCTTTTACTTTACTTGTACTCTTACCCCTCTCTAAAAAGTTTTAAGTTAGCTTAAAAAATAAAATGCTAAAATCAGAATTGGAAGTCAAGATGTAAGGTGAAGAAACAAGCTTTACAGCCAACAAAAGTCTGTTTCTTGAACAGAGCAAGGCTTTCAGGTAGCAATTAGTGCTGCTCAGAAAATCCAGCACATGGCCCCATAGAGATTTCTCACAAGCAACTTCATGTAACGGGTACCGGGAGAAGTACACCAGAATATAACTATAGAATATGCCTACTTCCCTTGGTAAAGACAGCAGGTGCAAACACTAAAACTCGGGGAAAAGAATTTCATCAAGAAAGTGTGAACTGAAAAAACTAATTCAAACACGCAGGTTTTTAACGGATTAGTATTATCCATGGAACCAAGAAACTGCTTACAGCCTATCAATCAATCCCCCATCAATATTGCTTCTCTCCACCAAATTTTTGTTAAGTTATATCTACCTGAATATCTCCAAGTATCTAAAACTGAAACTCTTTTCCCCTCTATAGCTTCCTCCTGCATTGTTGCTCTTCATCTAGTCTCTATTTTAGTTAATGGCACCACCAACTAAGTTACCCAACCCTGGCTGCAGAAAATATCTGCAATATATATAATAAACAAAACATTAATATTCATAAAAAGTGAAATTCTTCTAGAGATCGATAAGAAGAAAAAAAAAACTTAAAAAATAGGTAAAGGCACCAAAGTAAAAGTTCACCTTCACAAGTAATCAAGGAAATGAAAACTAATGAGCTACTATAACTTTTTATCAGATTGGAGACAATTAAAAGATTGAAAATATCCAGCATTTGTAAGGATGTGGGAAAATAGATGCTCTTATCCACTCTTACTGAGAGTGTTACCTAGTAGCCTTTCAAGAGAGTAATTTGCCATTATCTAGCAACACCGAAACTGCGCGCACCATTACGCCACACCCAGAACAGCAGCTCCTCATGGCAGCTTTACTTCTAACGGTCAATTACAGGAAATAACCCAAATGTCCTACAGGATCTGTATGCTGAAAACCATGAAATGCTGAAGAACTCCAAGATGACCCAAATAACTGTAGGGACAGGCCATTTACACAGAATGAAGACTTGACACAGAAATAACCTCCAATTCTCTCCAAATTGAGCTACAGAGTTCTCCCAGTCCCAGCAGGATGTTTTACAGATGGATAAACAAGCTCATTCTAAAATGTGTATGGAAAGGAAAGAAAGTAGAAGAGCCAAAATGATTTTTTATAAAGAACAGAGTTGGAGGAATCATACTACCTGATCTTAAGACTGACTATAATATCACAGCAATCAAGACAGTGTGGTATTAGAGAAGGGATAGATACATAGATTAATGGGACAGAATCAAAAGTATAGAGCCCTGGCTGGTGTGTCTCAGGAGTTAAGAACATCAGCCCACACACCAAAGTGTCTCGGGTTTAATTCCTGGTTAAGGGCACATACCTGGGTTGCATGTACGATCCTCGGTTCTGGTTGGGACGTGTGCAGGAGGCAACTAATCGATGTGTCTCTCTCACATTGATGTTTCTCTCTCTCTCTCTCTCTC